GCATCCCTGCTCTGCCCCTACTGAAGCACGTTGCTTAGGCAGCAACAGGGGAAAAATCCCACCCTTACACTGGGAGAAGCCTCTGTTTAGGCATAGCCGAAAGGATTTCCTATAGCTCTGTAGCTGTATAGCTACCGTAAGTGATGCTTAAGCAAACAGGGCTCCTGTAGGCAGAGGCTCCAGGCTGTCAAATACATAGGCAGACCTTGCACGTTAGAAGGTACCGAGCATGGAAGCTGGGAGAGCTGCTGCGAGGAAGCTTGTCCAAAATGCCAGAGACAGGGTAACAGTGGTAACCGGAGCCTGGGATCCTTCACCTCCTGGATGCGATTTTCCCGACTCAGCACCTTCTGTTCTGCACAGCCCTTCTCTCGGGGGGATTTCCCATCTGCTTGCATCTGGATGCATTTACAGGATCGGGACATCCAACAGTGGAAACCATAACTGGAAATAGTACTTTTGCATGCTGGCTGTGAAAGGGTGAGCGGGCATGGGAGGAGCGTTCCCTTTCAGTAAGCCTTTCTAATGCATTTAGTTGTAAAGAGATTGTGTAAAATGCAAATGTTAGACATATTTTACAAATGAGGAAAGGATGATGGAGGTAGTGGCTAAAACACACTTCGGTGGCTAACGCCCATGGTCATGCAGAGGGCCACACAGAAAGTCAGCGGCAAGCTCAGGGCCAGGACTCGCGTGCCCTGTGAAGCCGTGCCAGGGGCTTTCACTGTTGGTGAGAAAACACGCAAGTTGCGAGACTTGCCTCAGTAGATGGCTCACTGCATAGCCTTTGCCTTCAAACAGAAATACCCAGGACACCACCAGCATCAGTGTTTCACAGAACTCGGTCATGAAATGGCTCTGATGGATAGGAACATGCTGTTACAGTTGACACCTTCCTTCACCTTGACAGCTTTAACTCCTATGTGTTCCCCATGTTCACTTTTCTCCTCACAGCCTTCCTACCACTGCTCCATCATGTGGTATCCGGTCTCGTGGACACCACGTGCCCAGTGGTCACCCAAGCACTTAAAGCTGGTCACTGTCTATGTGCTGGTGCTCTTGGTATCGCTCAGCTTTGCTTCAGGACAGAGCAGGCCATTTAAACATCAGATAGACAACAGAAGTAAGTATGAGTCTCACCTGACGTAATGTGATGGACTCCCATATGGTGACCCCGCGGTCTCTGGTGCATTGAGGGATCAGGGTGGGGCTGTCAGGCAAAGTTCAGCAGCAAATCCATGTGGGTGGTTCTATGGTAAAATGGGCGTGTGGGGTCCTGTACTTCCATTTACACTTGTAAAAGCATATACAGAACTTAATCTCCTTCCCACAGCCTTTAATTAGCCAAGGGAAATAGTGTAATTTTTGATAAATACCAGAGGAGACACTAATGTACAAAAGACTGACAAAGAAAATGTAAGGTATTCAAGTATACATTGAATATTTAAGCATCAAATTTTGGGCTGTGTTCTGTAGACCTGGGGTAGTTCACAACTACTTCTATAGAGTAGAAGAAAGCAAGGGCCAGAAGCTTAAGTTCGCTTTACAGATATCTTCATTTCTGTCTGGAACCACGAGTTCTCTGAAAGGCAAAAGACAAGTAGTTGAAGTGACGCCATTCAGACACTGTGAGGAACCGAGGCTGGCCAGGTGAGGGACAATACCGTATGTCCCAAGTAAAAGCTAACACACAGCCCAAAAGATTTTTGAGAAAATCTTTATCAGGAAATCTCATCTTCCCCCAAGGAGCAAAGGCTGATAATTTTATGCGGAGTGGGAGAGAGGTGGGTGTGGGAGGTAAGGCGCGTGGGTTCTCAGTGGGTCACCTTTCCCCTTTCAAAGAGAACTAGGGATGTGCAAAGCCTCAGTTTTTAGGTACCCGGGTGAAACAATGAAATTACTTAGGTTTTGGTGGGCAGGAGGGGTGTTAAATACTGAGTGGAAAGACTTACAAGATGTATTTATGGAGAAATTCACAGCCAAAGTGGATTTTTTCTCTGTTCAAGCATCAAAATGCACAGGGGAAAATCCTGCTGCCTTGCCCGAGATTTTCATATAACTTGGATGATATATAATGCACTTAAATTGAAATTTATTCCTATTCCTGACATTCATCCAGCTTTGGAATGATTTGGTATTTCCTTGGGGTGGCATCATCTCCAGCACTTTGTAGATTTTCCCTGTTGCTATATCTTAGTCTTTTAATACAACTATACCCCTCTCCACACTTGCTCTAAAACTAGACTAGACTATAAAAATAAGTCAAGTATGAATGTACTTCAGATGCATTAAAAGAAAAAAAGTCATCCATGAAAACAACTTCCTAAGTGAACAAGAATTAGCCTTTTATGTTTACCTCTCACGTAGCAACCCCCTCTGCAATCCAGTGGATTTGTTAGCCTGTAGAGATACCGTACCTGGCGCATGCAGCAGAAATGGAGGCTGGACAGTAGGACCTTCAGGACTTTAGCTAAGAGAGGACAGTTTAAAAGTGGTGGTACAGGAAGCTACTATGGTCTTTCTGGACGTAGGCTGTCCTGTAACCTCTTCCAGGGTTCAGGTCAGTTTTAAAGCACGCTGTGCCCTCCTGAATTGATCGGTACTTTTCCTTACGTTCGAATTGCAGGTTGCAGCCCAGATGGATGAAAATTAATTTTGCATCTGAACCCTCTTCCTTTGGGCTCTACACATGGCAGGTGACCCCGTCTAACACCCTCAAGATGTTCAGGAAATGCTACCTTTAAGTACAGTGGTAAGATGCTTCACTGACTGCTTTGAATTCCAGGTCCTGAGATCGATCCTTTTTGGTATGTGGGCCGTGGCGTTCGCCCCATCGGTCGGTTCGGGAAGAGGCAGCTGAGAAGCAGCCGTGGCAGCCTGAGGCCTGTGAGCAGGCACCTGGATTTCATCTTGAACGCTTTGTGGGAGCAAAAAGTGTCAGACACCGAAGACAATGACTGGTGATCCCCGTTCCCCGAGGCGGTGACCCAACCTCTGCTCTTTGAATTGCACCCTCCCCTGCACCTCAGACCTCCAGTTCTGCTTTTGCCTAGCAATCCCACGCTGCTCTTCTTTCTGGTCCTTGTGCAAGTTCCTTCAAAAAGAAACATATTCAGGGTGCAGGTAAAAGACAATGCATGGACACTAGCACCAAGTGCAACCATAGCTTTTAAAAATGTTTCTTGGTCTTACACCCCCACCAATCCCTTGATGCTGTTTGCTGTAATGTTAGGTTTATCCAAAAACCACACAGCTTTTGTGCTGGGATTTAAACTCTGCAGTGCTAGGCGTATCATGAAGCCTTCCTGTCACATTTCAAAGTCAATGGCTGTTGATATGTAAAAATAAAAAGCAATGGTTGGAAGAAAGAAAAAAGGCTCTCACTAGTTTTTAATGTACTTGCGTTAGTGGCATGAAATGCTGGTGCTCTGGGTGTAGTTTTTATACAGGTTGTTAACATTCACTCGTAGGAATGTAGCCCTGAACTACCCACAGCCTCTTTATGATTCTTCCTGCACTGCTGGAGAGATATATTAATGAACAAAAAGGAGCTCCTATCAAAGATAAGTATTTCTCCCTGCTGAAGAAAAAAACAAAGAAATTGGCGAATTAAACTCTTCAGAGTCGTTTTGTGCCTACTGCATGTAATCATGCACTGTTATCCAAAAGGGGCAAGGGCCTAAACTAGCTGATGCCCTTTAAAACAACGTACTTGTTTGGAAGTACATTATCTGATCAAGCTAAAGTCACTCTTAGAGGATCACAAGCAGCGTATCATCTACTACATTAGTCCACATCAATAAGCCTGGGGTTGTGGCTCAATACTTATGTTTGCCATGGTAATTAACTTTGTTATATTCATTTTATAAGAAGTCTTATTTACAATATGTTTAATCTTGATTAATAACTATTACCAGCAATAATATTCAAATACAGTTTAATCTATGGCTTATATTCAAAAAAGATAGTTTACAATTTAGCTAATGACTGACGGTTAAATCCAGGCTATGAATCGTTCTGCAAAAGACAAATTAGAATGAACTTGCACTTCTAGTTGTGCTTTGTTAGAATGACTACTAAAATTTCATAGTGGTTGAATTAATCATTGCAGATAACTTAACCCTTTCTTCTCTTTGTGAATGGTCTGTCAGCAAGGAGTGGATTTTTATTATAATAAGGTAGTTACTGCTATTTATAATACAACACATAGCACCCAAAGTGTTACTTAAAACATGCGAGTTTAAATGAATGCTCTCATGGTGGAGAAAATACGCTGATAAAGAAATATTTTGATCAGCATTCATCGCATGTGACTTTGGGAATACTAGACTAAGATTATCAGCAGGGCTCTTGCTCAGTTTGTCATTTTGTAGCGAACCCAGTGAGAGTTACAGAAATTCTGCCTGAGAAATTCTGTCCGAGATGGTATCTTGCCCGACAGACTCAACAGGGGAAGACGAACCATCAGATGTTCCTAACGGGATCCCTCCCACCCCAGCCCCAGTGGAAAAAATCTGAACCGAGTGCCTTAACCTGTGTTCCTCCGCTCAGCTAACCGAGGCAATTCTGCGGAGCTGCAGGTCTCCCGGGTTTAACGGGGGACGGGTCATTTGTGGACAGGCAGTATCCGAGCCCTGTGTGCGGCAGCGTGTTCTGCACGCTTCCTGGGCGAAGTGCACATAAATCCAAACAACAGAGAAGAACTTTTGGTTTTTCTTTATGAATCAAGTCCTTGAAAAGGCATTCTTTTCATAAATTGCTTTTACTCTTTTATAATTTCTCTTGACAATAATTCTCAGTGAGTATGCAGATAACAACAACAAGGCAAGCTTAATATTTACTCAGACTTAATCAAATAGATCATATAGTCTTCATTTTACCCATTAAAATATTTTCATTTATAAAAATTAATCTGAATATAAATATTAACACTAAAGATTGAAATCACTTGATGACAAAATAATTCTTTGTGTGCTATAACATATGCTTTTATGATTTTTTTAAAACAGTAAATTATATCTTTGCACGTATTTGGCACAATAAACATTTATAAAAATTCAAATGCCTTATAGCAGGTGGAATTTTTTTTATCTTTTTTTTTT